ACCAACAGCAAGCAGGGGATCTTTCACTCACTCTCACTTTTAAAACTAGCATGACTGTGTGTGCGGCTCCACCTGCACAGTCATTTATACATTCACATAGATCTGTGATTGAGTGAACTACAAGTCCCATTTTCCACTGCATCTGATAGACTTTTATTTCTCAGTGGACTGAAAGTGTGGTGATCACGGCACTCGTCCATTGATACTTCCCCAATCTCTCCAACTGAAAACTCACATTTATTTTCTCCATCTGCTCATCCCCCACAATTATTACCTTTTGCATCACTTGACCCTCCCTTTTAGATTGTAAGCTCTAACAAGCAGGGTCCTCTGATTCCTAATGTATTGAATTGTAACCACTGTTTGCCCTCACATTGTAAAGTGCTGCGCAAACTGTTGGCGCTATATAAATCCTGAAAATGATGATAATACCTTGGTATAGACCGAGAACTGGAGGAAGAGGCAGCAGCAGGAGCCTGGCATTGTAACTATGTTCAGTGATCACAGGTGCAGTGCTTTGCAGGCTCCTGTGGATACATAAAATCATAAATGCACATTTTTTTTTTTCTCGCAAAATGGGGGCATTTATTATTTTATATATATTTTTTAGGGTGAACCCTGTATATAAAATAAGGAAACGTTCCCTTCAGACTGATTTGTGAAGTGGCTGTTAATGGAGTTCTTGTTTAACAGCAAAACCTGTCACACAGGAATGGTTCTTGATTTGACTGAGTTCTAGCATTTTGTCAAGGCTATTTTGTTTTCCTGAATAAAAGCAGTAGTTTGTGAGTAAGTCTGACTTCCAGACATATTTACTTCCTTGTTTTGTTCACGCACCACATATTGTTCATATAGGAATGTCCTTGTTTGTTGCTGGTGACAATTTTTTTTTTTTCCTCATTTCAGTTTTTTTGCTTCCTTCATTCCTACTTTTCTCTTAGGGTCCATTCACACCAGCTTTTGCGTTGTAACACAGTGACTGGTATGTGATGCAGTCGAGCATGTCAACTTTTTTTCTTTTCTTTTTCATTTAACCAGTTCCCAACCGCGCTATAGCCGGAGGACGGCTACAGTGCGGTTGTGTAATCCTGGGACGTCGTCCATGGGCGTCATTCCAAAACACGCTCTCCTGCGCGCCCCCAGTGATCGCTGTGTCCATTATACGGTAAACTGCCAATCATGGCGGCCTTTTACCATGTGATCAGCTGTGTCCAATGACACAGCAGATCACCGGGTATATACAGTTGCCGGTTATCGGCTGCTCTTTCCTCATGCTGTCAGAGCGTGAGGAAAGTACTGTCGAGAACCGGCAATTGTCAGCGAAGGGAGCCCTGATGATCAGTGCCACCCTGCAGTTCTACCCACCTGTGTCCATCAGTGGTGCACATCAGTGCTGCCTATCCGTGCCACCTCATCAGTGCCCATTAGTGCTGCCTATCAGTGCGGCCTCATCAACACACATCAGCGATGGAGAAAAATTACCTGTTTGCAAAATTTTATAATAGAAACAAAGAAAAACTTTTTTTTTTTTTCAAATGTTTTGCTCTTTGTTTATAGTGCAAAAAAATAAAACGGCCAGTGGCAAGTAAATACCACCAAAAGAAATCTATTTATGTTTAAAAAAAATGATACAAATTTCTTATGGGTACAGTGTTGCATGACCGCGCAATTGTCATTCAAAGTGCGACAGTGTTGAAAATTGGCCTGGGCAGGAAGGGGGTATAAGTGCCCGTTAGGCAAGTGGTTAATCTAAACAAACTTTAAGTGCCAATGGCCGCTGCATGGCGTGAGGCAATGCCAAGAGCTGCACTGAAAAGAAAAAAAATAGTGCATGCAGTCCTTTTTTGTTTTTTGTGTTTTTTTTTTTTTTTTTTAAGTGTACAATGTTTGAACACCACTGCAACAGGCACACAGGTGATTTTGTCATGTCATGCAGTGGGATTGCTCTGGAATAGCTGCCCAACACAGTCCCACCTCATCTGGTGTGAATTGGCCCTTAGTGTGTTTTCTGCTAGCATGTAGTAAATAATATCTGATACCCTGTATAAAATAAATTATTGAAATACAGTATGAGTATTCTGTATAAAACCCTGTGATTGGACCAGTTGTGATATAGCTGTTTAGGAACAATGTACACTACCCTATGCAGTTGTGGTACTTTTTTGTTGCCACACAAAAGCCATGTAACCAAGACAGTATGTTGGCCTAAGGCCCTATGAATGAATTGTCTGATTGAAAAACAGTTTGTGGTTTCTTCTAGCTACCAATCAGTGCTGGTACAATTCTAGCCATAGGACACTGAAAAGTTGACTGGTTGCTAGGAAGGAAATACAGAAACTACATCAGTCATACACCTTATACTTGAGACCCTTGGTGGCTTCATATATTTTGAAAGCACAATATATTGGTAACTTATTCATTTTGAAAAGGATTTTCGTATTTATCTCTGCTGCCCCTAAGCTCCATATTTATGGTTTGGATGACAGTACTGCTGTATGAAATGTCAGGTTACATAAGGTGATGGCACTGAGGATTACGTACTGTTTCCAGACCATTCCAGTGAGAGGACAGGTTCGGGGTCAGAGAAGACACCAGGCTGTAATAGAGCTTTACTCATCTGCCAGCTGCCTAAAATTAGTGAGAAGATACTTGAATTTTTTGAAGACTTCTTAAAGAAATGGATTTAAACTTTTTGGACCCTTTCACACAGACATTCAGTCTGGATCCATCTGTCAGTTTTTCAAACAGATCCACAATGTATGTCTGTATGCAGGTGGCTGTAAACAGACGTCTGTCCGTTTTTTAATTCCATTTATGTCTGCTGAAAACAAGGGGAAAAGTTTGTGTCCATTTTTGCAGACATAGACTGATCTAAACAGATATTGTCTGATTACATATGTTTTTTGACAAACTTTTTTTTTTTTTTTGTCTATACTGTTGTCCTATGGCTTTTTTGTACTACAACTTAAAAAAAAAAATGGACACGTTAAAAAGGGATGTATAGTGATGTGATGCAATATTTATTTATTCATTTTTGTTTTGTTTTTAAGCCAGAACTGATGATGTTTGTGTGAAAGGACCCTTTCACTTTTCATGTTCTGTTATAATATCTTTCTGGGCTTTTTATGCATGAATAAAAAAAAAAAGAGAGAAATTCTAAAAATGTAGAAGTTTTGATTGCTATGGAATTTGACGCATGCTATTTGAATGCAAATGAATCCCATGGCAAAGCACAGTGATTGAATGTTGCATCTGAAGAACACAACCTCACCTAATCATGGCTTGATGCTAAATGGTAAAACAAAAATATATGAAATTCAATTTGGTTTTAAAAAGCTAAAGAAGCAACTTCTTGTTTTGTTAACGGGTTAGCTTACACGAAACGGATATGTCTGTTGTTTAGGAAGATGCAATAGAAATAAACCATCTGGTTTTTTTTTTTTTTTTTTTTTGTGGACTCCAAGCTTTAGATTCTAAGTCTGCTGTTATCTGCTGTGGTCATTAGATTAATTTTTTTTTTTTAATATTCTACAGCAGGGGGTCTCCAAACTTTTCAAACAAAAAGCCAGTTGACTGTCCTTTCGGACTTTGGGGGGGGACAGATTGTGTCTGGTGGGGGTAGAAATTATCCCGGGCCCAGCATAAGTAAGAATAAACATGGCCTCAGGGTTGGTGGTCAGTAGAAGGAGGGGTAATGCCCTATTATTGGTATTAGTGGAAGGAATAGTGTCCCATCATTGGTATTAGTGGAAGAAACCATACCCCATTGTTGGTGTCAGTGGAAAGAATACTGCCCCATCATTGATATTAGTGGGAGGAATAATGTGCTATAATTAGAGTCAGTGGCAGGAATTATGCCTCACACTTGGTATCAGTGGAAGAAACCATGCCTCATTGTTGGTGTCAGTGGAAGGAATTGTGCACCAATATTGATATTAAAGGTTGGTTTAATGCCCAAGAACAGACAAGGTAATTATGGTAGGGAGATCTTGCTTTCTGAGTATCCGAGAAATCTAGGAAGTCTGGTTGGCTAGACTCAACATGCTCTACCACTAAAATATTACTTTTGTTTTGAACAGCCTTTGTGATTGTGGAAACCCTTTTTAAATATAATATGCATTCTATTAAATAAGTAATAATTTAAAAATAGTATACGTATCCTTTTAGGTATTGTGTTTTAATTTCTGAGACCAAATTAGGCTATGAACAGAAATGTGCCTTTAAGGATAGGGGTACTTCATGGCTGAAAGAGTCATTGTAGCAACTTGCTTTGGACAGCTGTTATCTGATTAGTTTCTATTGACAATATAGACACTGTGCTTTCAGAGACACTTTGTAGCAGATGAATAGAATCTGATCATATTTCATCTGTCTGCCTGAATAATAGGATATTTTCCTTTTCTTTCTTAAACCTCTGTTTTTAGTTAACCCGTGTAAAGCGGCTTCTTTCCTTTTTTAAAAAAACAGCCTGTTAAAAATAAAAATAAAAATTGTAATACCTGTCCTGCCACCAGTGACTCAAACCTTTGCTTTCTTGTGGAACAACAGCAACTGCTGGAATATTCAGCATCTGAATCTTACCTGTGTGTTGGATTTCTGCATTCCCTGCTGCCTGCATTGGTTCCACCCGATTCTCTTTGCACCACTGTAGAGATACACTAGTAACATAGCATCTGCCCGGTGAAGCCATAGCATGGTGCAGGGGACACAGGCATCTGACACACCAGGCAGTGTCGGGTGATGTAGATTTCAGTGGCCTGTGTAGGTCTGTGAGAGAAAAATTATTGAAGTCACTGATGGCAGGACTTGTAAGTATTACTCTTCTTTTACAGAATGCCAATTTAAAAATTTTACTTTAATGCCAACAGAATTTTTAATATATATATTGTGATTACGGTTGCTGCAGTTGATAGTTGTGAAACCATGATTACTGATCCCCTTTACTTTATTAATGCTGTACATTTTTTTTTTTTTTTCAGATTGGAGGCAATAAGCACACAATGAATGAACATCTGCACATTAGCAGTCATGGACAGATCCAGGTGCAGCAGTTGTTTGAGGACAACAGCAACAAAAGGACAGTACTGACAACACAACCAAATGGACTCACTAATGTTGGCAAGACTGGGCTTCCTGTTGTTTCAGAAAGACAGCTAGAAAGCACACACCGGAGACAAGGAAGTTCCAGCTCTTTGAAATCTGCTGATGGGACAACCAAAGTGAAGTCCTCTTCGTTAACCCCAGAACAAGCAATGAAGCAATACATGCAAAAACTAACAGCCTTTGAGCACCATGAAATTTTTAACTATTCAGAAATATACTTCTTGGGTCCAAATGCAAAGAAACGTCAAGGTGTAATTGGTGGCCCTAATAACGGTGGTTATGATGATGATCAAGGCTCATATGTGCAAGTGCCACATGATCACGTTGCATACCGGTATGAAGTATTGAAGGTTATTGGGAAAGGAAGCTTTGGTCAAGTTGTGAAGGCATATGATCACAAGCTCCATCAGCATGTGGCTTTAAAAATGGTGAGGAATGAGAAACGATTTCATCGTCAAGCGGCAGAAGAGATCAGAATCCTAGAACATCTAAAAAAGCAGGATAAAGATAACAACATGAATGTCATCCACATGCTGGAGAATTTCACATTCCGCAATCATATCTGCATGACGTTTGAGTTGCTAAGCATGAACCTTTATGAGCTGATAAAGAAAAATAAGTTTCAAGGCTTCAGTCTGCCTTTAGTTCGCAAATTTGCGCACTCAATTTTACAGTGCTTGGATGCTTTGCACAAAAATAGAATAATCCACTGTGACCTTAAACCGGAAAATATTTTATTGAAGCAACAGGGTAGAAGTGGTATAAAAGTCATAGACTTTGGATCTAGCTGTTATGAACATCAGCGTGTTTACACATATATCCAGTCTCGCTTTTATCGAGCTCCAGAGGTCATTCTTGGTGGTCGTTATGGTATGCCTATCGACATGTGGAGCTTGGGCTGCATTCTAGCAGAACTGTTGACTGGCTATCCACTCCTACCCGGAGAAGATGAAGGTGATCAGTTAGCATGTATGATCGAATTACTGGGAATGCCACCCCAAAAACTACTTGATTCTTCAAAACGCGGCAAAAATTTTGTCAGCTCCAAAGGTTATCCTCGATATTGCACTGTTACAACCCTGCCAGATGGATCTGTGGTACTGAATGGTGGTCGCTCCCGTAGAGGAAAATTACGAGGTCCTCCTGGGAGTAGGGACTGGGTAACTGCTTTAAAGGGCTGCGACGATCCCTTGTTTCTTGATTTTCTATCGCAATGTTTGGAGTGGGATCCTGCTCTGCGCATGACACCCAGCCAGGCTTTACGGCATCACTGGCTACGTCGGCGCTTGCCGAAGCCCCCAACAGGGGAAAAGACATCATCCAAAAGAATTACAGAAAGCTCGGGTGCTATAACTTCAATCTCTAAGTTACCTCCTGCATCAGGCTCAGCTGCAAAACTAAGAAATAATATGGCCCAAATGACTGATGCCAATGGAAATATTCAACAAAGGACCGTTTTGCCAAAGTTGGTTAGCTGATTCATAAACATTTTTTCTTTAAACACCTTGCTGAGCCTTATGCATACAGCTCAAGTTCATAATATTTTTAATTGCTCAGTTTATATCAATACTTTTATCTGTGCAGCCATTGTAATTTTTAGTAACGATGCAATTTTGTATTTAAACAATGGGGACGATGCTTTAAGTTTTTGATGTTATTTTATAGGCATATCAGTTTTAATTGGCTTTGTTTAGAAGTGTCAAAATCAGTGGCTGGCCACTGTCTATTGCTTGACTGTTAAACCTAATTTATTGATGTCCGAAGGATTAGCTACCAACCATTTATTTTAAAGTAATCGCTTAAGTGCTCTGAGAAACTGGCTCCACACATTTATTCTAATCTTATTTTACAAAGTAGACTTGGCCAAAGTGGATGTATCTGTATGTATGTTGGGTATGAAGAAGTCGATTCTCGGTATGCAGTTGACATACTTCGCATATCTTCATACAGTTGAGTAAAGTGTTTTTAAGCATGTTAATGATGTAGAGGTATGTGCAAAGAATTATAAAAAAAAAAAAAGTAAAGAGTATTTGTTTGGTAAACCATGTCAGACGCCCAGAAATTGGCTTTAAGCAGTGTAGAGTATAAACTAGTTAAAGCTTGTATCGGATTGGTTGTTGCATTTGCCTCAGCTCTTTGTTTTAAATCTCACAGCCGATTGGTGGTTGAGGATGAGTGTACATCACTGCTGTTAAAGCGGAACTAAACCCTTCTATCCTTTACAGCCAAAGAAGCTTGCCTTTGTTTGATCTGCAACTGCCATGGTGCTGCACATGTGATCAGTTATGACTCCAGCAGCCGTTTGACAGTTTGGTTGTGAACACAAGCAAATGTGACAGTTAGCAAACCTGGCATGCTGGGAATATAACTGTTCTTTGAAACTGTTCAATTGGTGGGTTTAGTTGTGCTTTAAAAGAAAAAAAAAAAAAAATGCTGGTCTCGTACATTTACACGCAGGAAAGGAAACCCTTTGTCTGTAATATATTGTTTAGATAATTTTAGTCCTTTTATGGTGGAGTCAAATTATTTGATCTGATTTTATTTGTAAATGTAAGCCAAATAGTTATCTATTTTGTGTGATGCAGTGTCATAAACCCAGGGAATGACATTTTTTTTTTACATACAAACTGTTTTTAATATATTCTTTAATCAAAAGCCCCTGCATTTGGTTCCAGCTATTGCAAATGTCCCCATATAAAGAAATACTAGAGGTTTATGTGAGTGCTACCCAGAACAGTGTATGACTGTTAACCCTTTTAATTTATGCAGTAAACCTACATGGTTAATAGTGTGTTTTCGAATGTGACGTCTACATTACTTCCACAATACTAACATTTGCAGTTTCTAGTCACACTTAAAGCATGGTCCCCAAATGTGTCTAAAAACAGATGATGTCATTATCTACTCTTCTCACAAAAAATAGGCTTTGTCAAATGTGGGACAACATTTTATTTCAATCCACGTTTGTTTTAAAGTGTTTGTAATAATCCTTTTCACAAATAGGGAATGTGTTTATACATTGGTTCAGAGCCAAGAACAAAAATATGAAGAGCGCCTCTCCCTTTCGTCTAAATATAGAAACATAGTTATTACACCCGGCGATTTCCTATATATATATTCAACCAAACGTGCGATGATACCCACACTAGCAGTTTGCACATATTTGTCTGGGGCAAAATACAGTTGCAAGCTGGCATTGATTTGGCTGGCATCCAAACCATGAAATATCGATAGGCCCGTCAGTTTGTTATACACTTCCTATGCCCACTGTGCATTGAACGCACTTCTTTTATGTGAACTTTGTCTTCACTGTAAATTGTCCCCAACCATCTTTTAATTTAGGAACGGGTGACCCTGCCCTGATGTTCTGGGTTTTTTTTTTTTTTTTATGACACCAATTTGAATTTGAGATTCTGAAATACAGCAGCTGTCTTTTAGTCTTTTTATAATGTTAAGTGCAAACACAAAGCATGCCAAGTGCAACTTTGTCATTACTTTAAGGGCTGTGGTGACTGATCTGCTGTGTGTTGTCCTAGTAACAATATTGTGTCTCACATGTTCCCATTGTCTGGGGACATCTTGCCTATTTACAGCAGTAGTGATAGCACAGTATGTTGCTGTTTCTTTGGTTGCAGTCTCATTTTGCTGTTTCATGCACCAGTTGGAGCTTACTTGACACATAAGTGTATTTCTGTTGTACTGTAACAACCGTTCCAACAACAGAATGAGTTACTCTTACAATACAGGATAAATTGTGCCTTTTATTAATGCCACACTGGGCATGTTTGGCCTCATGTTTTACTCTGTAGATGGTAAGTAGTGAGAAAGCATTTATATTACAGATTAATGCTACTTGTCTTAAACCAATTCTATATAGAGGCCTTATAAGTAACCTATAACAGTAGTATTATTGTTCTTACTGAGATCCATTCACACTGCTGGATTATACTTCCATACATCTGAAGGATTAAAGATGCTCAAAGTCAATTAACAGGTACTATATATCTGCATTTGTACACCAACCCTTTATATTTTGTACATTGTTTTTGTTATGCTTCTACTAGTGAAGGAAACACAATCTTATTTAATTTTGTAAGAATTACCTCAAACTTCATTTTTGTAGTGTGTTCAATCCCAGGGCATTTGGTAAGAACCAAAGTGCATTCCTTTTTGTATTGGCTTAGCAGCCAAGCGACTTTTCTTAGGTGCGCGGTGTTTGAGCCACTTTTCATGTATGATCTTGGAGTGCATAGTCTCTTCTAATTGGGTTATTCCGTAAAGAGAAAAGCAGGTGAAGGGTAACCTGTCTAGCGTATACTTCTCTAAGAGTTCAGTCTAAACCTTCTTTTCTCTTTAGATTACAGCATAGCCCAATTTCTAACTTTGATCATAAACACACCCAATGTGAGTTCTCTTTTGAAACTTTTTTACATCTTGACAAACATTTATTTCTGAAACGTATATGTTTATGCTTACAAACTGGCTACACTTGTCTTGCCCTGTGGTTCTTAATGGTGTTGTCAATCATCCTATACAGCACATTTTCAAGATCTTCGGGCAGAATTTGGCTGAAAGAAATTGGAAGCATTTGTGGATTACTTAGGGTGACACTTTTGCAGGTGTGTTTTACTCCAGTCACTGTCTAGTATGGTTTATGGCCAGACACGAGTGCTGGGACATCATCTACAGCAATGTTTTGGGTGGAATTGTTGCCATCAGTTAAAATTTGCTCTGAAGTGGAACACACTGGCAAACACTTTGAGCAGGCAAATTATTTCTGCATTTATTGTGGTCATTGTACCGCCAGTTCTGCTTTTCTCCTTGTAATTGGAAGTTCACGATCTTCCAGAATTTTTGATGTAGGCTTCCAGTTACATCTTCAAATGTTCAAGGCTAGGCTTGGCTCATTAAAAGTATAGCCAGCCTGTGAGTGCCCATGCACAAGCATGTGTACAGAAGATCGGACTGCTGAAGAAGCTATGTGTAGAATTACGGGGGACATAAGTACACATGCTTGTACTGGCTAGGGTGTGTGTTTATGCACTGAACATATATCTCTGGCAGCATTTTTTTCTCAGGAGAAAAGTAGCGGCTGGCTGTGAAAAATCCAGCTTTGGTAATTAGTTCTTTTACTATTACCAATTGGTCAGGAGGTGTCTGCAGAGGTTACAAACTGCCCGTAGATTTTGTTTCTCAGTCTGACTATAATCAGCCATATCCAGCAATGATCATCTAGTGTCTATGGGCACATCTATTTTACAAACCACATTTAATCTGTTTTTGGAGTGGATTGTATGTTTAGTACTTATTAATGTAGTCAGGAATGCAACACGCCACAGACGTGCAAATTGTTTTTGGTTCTGTTTGTGTTCCGAATTAAATCTGCACAGATTGTGTGGCTTTCGTTGCAAATATATTAGATGCGGTTTGTAAATTATGTGATGGTCAGTGCCCAGCTCTGCAGGTAGGTGTGCACCCATGGGATGAATCATTTGTTAATTCCTATAAAAGATTGTAAAAAATAAGCAGTATAACCTGGCATACAAACTTAAGAACCTCTGATGCTGTTGCTTTGCTTCTTCAGCAACATCTTAGACATGTGACTGTAATATGCTGCAGTTGTGTGTACTGATAATATGTGAACCATTTTGATTGAATGTGGACTTATATATAATTTTGTGTACATTTTCTGTGAGATGCTGCTGGCTCCACTTTACATTGGATATGTTGGAGTGGACAAGAATCAGTGGCCAGTTTTATACTGTATGTATTGTACAGCAGATGACAGAAGTATGAATTTTTAGTGAATATTTGTTAAATTTTATTGTTGTGGCCAGAGATCATTTCAGAATAAAAATGTATGTCCCTTTTTGCCTTTTATTTCTCTCTCTTGTTTTGAATAAGGGTCAGTGGTAATACATATGTTTGCAAGTTTATATCATGTCGGAGTTGACATTTGTTCTTAAAACTGGCCCATTATATTCTGACCATAAAGCTATGGAATATGGTACATTGCTTTTCAGCACTAGAAGCCCAGGACCAGCATTCTTAAAGTAGAGGTCAGCGATGGCAATTCTGTCAGGTGGACTTTCCATCCCACATGCTATTTTAAAATAGTGCTGGGATTGCATTTCTCATTCTTAGTGACGATGAGGGTATAGGGCTAAGCCCGGCAGCTGAACTGATCAGCTTCCGGGCTTCTGATCCTGCTAAAGAGAGCGTTCTGTAGCACAAACACAATGCTCCTGACCTTATCTGTGTTTCCACATTGCAATGGCAATTATTCTGGAGCAGGTCGGAACTGATCCAACTCTGCTTCTTCCTGCAGCAAAAGATCAGTGTAGGGTTGGTATAATGCTAACTGATAACAGAAAGATCATGATTTTTATGTGATCTGTTGATGCAGAACTACATTGATGGGATCAGGTCCTCCAATGAATTTAAATTAAAAAAAAAAAAAAAAAACTTACATTTTAGC